ACCTTCATGGGTGGTTTCAACAGATTCCCAAATTTCTTTGGCTGTCTCACACTATGCCACTTGACCTCTTTCTTCTGGACTGAGCGCAGAGAATAGAATATGCATTGCCCTTGAGTCTTGCTGAGAGGACAACTTTTTATCATCTTCCCATTTTTCTTCTTCCTCATCATCCATGGGGATTGGCCCCTTCTTGACTTCCAGACAGTGTAGTCTGTGCCGTCGAACCATGGCGGATTGGTGTTTGCTGAGTAAGATGCAGAGGCGGGTAAGAATCCTGTCATTTCTTTGATCGTCTTTGGCGAATTTAAATCCTTCAAAGACCCAGCTCTGATACCAAGCAAGGGTTCTGGGCTTCTAAAGGAGACTATTAACCCCTCGGTTCTAAGGTTAATCAAACAAACCCCCATCTCGATTTCACTAGTTGCCAAGCATTCTAGGGTTTGATAAAGTTGAAATTCCAGGGTTTACTCTTCTGGGGTTTTCAGATCTAAGTTCACTAGTACTGGTGGTTTCAATTACAAGAAATTGAATTGACCCAATTGATTGATTGATTGAATGATCATTCTGTTCTGTTTTCAGCTACGAGGCAAGCGGATTGGAAATGTGGGTCTGGGTCGAATTGGGTACCAAGTTGGCAAAAGACTCGAGGCATTCGGCTGCACCATTGCATACAAATCCAGGAAGGCAAAGCCTGGGGTTTCATACCCTTTCTACCAGAATAATTTAAAGTTAGCTTTTCACTATTGAATTTTTTATAGTAGCCAAAGCTAGATGTCGTCTTACTATCACTCAGACAAAGAGAGAAGCAAATTTTACCATTTCGATCTTGGGTCCGGATTTTTACTTGGAAAAATATTTATTTTGTCAAGAGGCGGTGGCGAATGGCCTGGTGGATTTCTACATGAATTTCTGCAAAGAACCAACACCTGATCGACCCTTCCCAAGACACTACACCAACAGAGTTGTCTCCAATTATGAAGCCCTCGTCCTTACACGCCCTTTCTGCGAAGAAGAGATTTGGGAATGCCTCACCGACTTTGATGGCAACAAAGCCCCTAGTCCGGACGGATTCACATGGGAGTTCTATAAAAAGTGTTGGGTTTGGTTTAAAGATGACGTCGTTCATGCGTTCTCCGAGTTCCACTCAAATGGCACTCTCCCAAAAAGTGCCACTCACCCCTTCCTTTGCTTGCTTCCCAAAACAGACATGGTGGAAGACACCAAGGACCTAAGACCGATCAGCCTCATGAGATCTATTAACAAACTCGTCAGCAAGGTCCTTGCACCCAGACTTAGCTCGCTTCTGCCGAAGCTTGTCTCACCCAACCAAGAAGCCTATATGAAAGGGCGCCAAATTGCTGATGCACAGCTGATCGCCTTCGAGCTTGTGGACAGTAGAAAGAAGAGCAAAAAACCTGGACTCATGTTCAAAATCGACATAGAGAAAGCTTTCGACAACGTAAATTGGAGAAGTCTTTTTAAGGTTCTTTCAAACTTGGGTTTCCCCCGAAGTGGCTTGACTGGATACAAGGTACTATGTGCTCTCCCTCGTTTCTGTCCTCATCATTGGCGAATCCAATGGCTTTTTCCCTATGCATAAAGGCCTTAGACAGGGTGATTCGCTTTCTTCTGGTCTCTTTGTCCTGATTATGGATGTCCTTGATTTCATGATATCCAAAGTGAGTGTCGAGGGTAAGATTAAAGGTTTTTGCATCAATGAAGACAGCAGCAGCGGCAAAGTGACTCACCTTCGCTTCGCAGATGATACCCTCATTTTTTGCTAAGCTTCTTACGATAGGTTCTCAACATCATTGCCACACTCGTCTGCTTCCAAGCATTTACAGGACTCAACATCAATCTGGACAAAACTGTTATGTTTACCATAGGTGATATTCCAAACCCAGAGTTCTTCGCGAATTTGTTTGGTTGCAGATGGAGTGCTGAACCATCCAAGTACCTGGGATTCTATTATTGACAAATATCAGAAGAGGTTGGATGGATGGAAGAGCTGGTTCCTATCGATGGGAGGAAGAGTCGTCCTCAACAAAGCGGTTCTGTCCAACCAAGCAGTTTATCTTTTTTCTCTGTTGAGGGCTCCGAAGGCGGTTATCAATAGGATGGAAGGAATTCAACGCATATTTATATGGAGTGGAACAACCGAAATTGATAAGGTTCCCTTGGTTAGCTGAGAAAGATGCAAAGCACCTCGATCGCAGGGGGTTTGGGAATCATCGATTTGACGTGTTTCAATGAAGGAATGTTGAGCAAATGGCAATGGAGATCTGCTCACGAAAGTGATAGATAGTGGAGGACTCTGATCCGCCACAAATACACCAACCCTCACTCTCAGTGGTACCCCGGCAAATGCAGCAACGGCTTTGCCAACTCAGCTTGGATCAACATCTCGAAGGAGAGCACGATAATTTCTGGAATTTGACTTACATCGACCCTGGTAATGGAGTGTGGTGTTCCTTCTGGCACAATTTTTGGATCCCTAAAATATCTCTCGCTTTCAACTTCCCACGGGTTGCTGCTGCTTCGTCCGACCCTGCCACCAGAATCTACAATGTCAGAAACCGCAACGATAAGGGTATTAGATGGGATATTCCTTTAAATATTGTGCTGAGAGGGGGAGCTGAGCGCGAACTTTCTTCTTTACTTGATTTTCTTGATAGACACACTAATGACTAGGTCACAAGCAGGCCTAGCCGTCCGTTTTGGCTACCCGACCTAGACAACTCTTTTTCTGTTCATTCCATGTACAGGATACTCGTGAATAATAAATTTCCGGAATTCCCCATTTTCCTTGCCAAGTCGATTTGGAAGCAGATCATCCCAACAAAAATTTGAATCTTCCTATGGTTGACAACTCTCAAGATGATCCATACAACACCAGCGAGGAAATCTTTTCAAAAACAGAGATTGGCAATCCAGTCCCCCCGACAACCCGGATAAATAGATCAATTTATGCGCCCTTCATGCAATTACCTGGCATTTGTGGCTCGAAAGAAACCGACGAATCTTCCAAAACTCTAGTCAGAAAAAACAGTTGTCGCTTGAAAAGCTTTTAAATCAATGCTTGAATGACCTGTTGCGATGGGAAAATTCACTAAAGAGGAGGGCCATCAATGGCTCTACGATCATATGATAGACCCCTCTACAACGGTCCCTGATCCGTGCCCTTTCAGCTGAACATTTTCTTTGGCTCCTTTGGCTTTGATCGTTGTTTTGTTTTACCCTGTATCGCTGGGATTCTGTACTTTTTCCGCTTTGTTCTTCGTAACAGTAGGATTGGTCTGGTACATTCAACTGTGCTTTTATGTGTTTCTCTTTTCTTTCGTTCGTTCTTTTTTTCGGTTTTGCTTTCTGCGGGCGGCTCAATCCTGTTGAGCTTCTTCGCCCTTACTTTTCTTTCGTTTGTTTCTTTGAATTCGTAATAAAATCCTTCACCATTATAAAAAAAGGCTTAATACACTTTCATAGCCATAACTATTCGCGTTGTGACAATTATAGCCACTTTTTGAAAAATATACTCATATAGCCATTCCGTCACAAACTTTAAAGGCATCACTGTAAATGCTGAGTAGACAAACGTTTTCTACTGACGTGGCGACTTTTCGTCAAAAAAGATGCCAGGTGGAAGTATTATTTTTTATTAAATTGCAATTACATGAAAAAAATAAAAAAATGAAAAATCATCTTCCTCCAGACCATATGCTTTTGCGATCTCTTCCCGAATTGAAACCCCCAAACCCATTCCCTCGTCGAACTCAAATTCAGTTTCAAGAAAATCCACAAACTTCCATCACCCAAATTCAGATTCAAGAAAACTTAATACGACGAAGGCGTGGAAGTGAGGGCGGCGGCGCCGGGAGGGCGAAAGGGGAATTTGGTGTAGAGGAGATAGAACTTAGAGATGGATCCTAAAGCTACACCGCCGGCAGGATGGGCATGTGATTTGATCGACAATCGGACCCGACGTCGATGGTGAGGATGAGGAGAGGAGCGCGAAGAGGGTAGAATCAGGCCGTCAAGGCCGAGCCCAGATCTGGCAATGGTGGATTTGGAGGCGACGAAATTTCAATCTGGCGGTGGTGAGGGGTCTCGGAGAGGATGACGAAGGCAATATATTTTTGGAGAAATGGATTTGGTTCCTCTATATCTGGTTCTCTCACCCTTTGCTTTTGTCGGCAACATCAATCAGTTTCTCCCGACATCGCCTCCATCGTGCCGCTTCCGCCTCTCGCTCCACTTTCTAGATCTACACCATCTGTCAAAGCATCGATAAGGCCCGCCGCTTCTCCGACATTGATATCCGACCTGGTTTATGACGCCTACTCTAGCGAAGGAAACCCAATCGTTGCACCTGCCTCTCTCTTGGTCGACGAACTGGGTAGATTCGAAGAGGAAGTTGAAATTCGAAGAGGAAGAAAGAAAGAGTCGGGATATCTCCCTCCGACGAGGACCTGGAAACTTGAATCGAGGACGAGACACCAAGGGAAACTTCTCGACATAGATGGCCGCATCTTTCGATATAATAGCAGGCCAGCAGCTGGTTGATTAGGGATTTTCCCCTCCGGCGAGCATCTGGTTGGTTCTTCTTTAATCTGAATTTGGGTTTCGACTTTCGAGTTTTGACGAAGAGATCTGGGGGTTGGAGGAAGGTGAACAGGCGGTGTGGGGATGGGAAAAAAATTAATTATATAAAAAAATTTAATTTGTTGGTGGAATCCAAGTCAGTGCTGACGTGGGCAAATAGGGTCTAGTTGGCGATGACATGTCATCCACGTGGAAGCCACGTCATTTGGCGATGACGGCGTTCGTTACTACATTAACGGTAGTAACGGAAATGGCTATAGTTGACAAAAAAGTTTTACAAACATTTAATTTTTGGCTATACGAGTGTATTTTTCAAAAACTGACTATATTTGTCACAACGCGAATAGTTATGGCTATGAAAGTGTATTTTGCCAAAAAAAATGATCAGATGAGACTAGTACAATGTACTGGGTACAAAGCTAATTTTTATTATTAAACTTCATTATTTAACATTTGATCCCCATCGTATTTTTAAATTCTATCTTGTTAGTCTAGTACAGAACCTTTTTTTCTCGAATCAACTATCTCCTTAGTCTCTGGACTTAGAGCTTGAACTGCAGAAGAAGAGAATCCCCCACGAGTTCTGTAGTTGCAGACATCATGTATTCTGAGATTGTGGTCCCTCTGTATTTGGGAGGATTCCCTTCAGATAGCAGCTCCACAATGGGTTCATATATGGTTGGATTTGGTAATAGGCCGGTGCTAAAAAAGCAGGCCGCCGATATCCTCGGTTCATCGCTACGATTTGCCAGCACCCTATGCTTCACGCTCCTAAACTTATCATTCGACATAATCTGGAAAATAAACCGCGTAACATGAGCACATATATATGTCATCTCTTAACCGTACATTAATTGTCTACTGAAACACCATCGAGAAAGGAAATCCTACCTGAAGCATATCTCCGATGTTGATTACAAGGGACCCCGGCAAAGGAGTTACGTCAACCCACCGATTCTGATGAAGGACCTGGAGACCACCAACATGATCTTGCAGGAGAATGGTGATGAAACCGGGGTCCGTGTGCTTGCTATTCCCCAAAGTACGGTCAGGCTGAGGACACGGCGGATAATAATGACACACAAAGTAATGTCCCAGCAAGCAGTCCTTATTCCTCAGGTAGTTTGGTTCAAGTCCTAGACCCTCCGAGAGCAGCTCAGAGATCAGGCAGCCCATCTTAAGCATCTCCTTGGAATACTCCATCAGGATTTCCCTGTATTTATTTTGAGCTGAACTTAATTAGTAGCTAATTCATTGCACGGCTTGGAATGCTCGTTGTCGATTGTATCATACCTGTTAGCAACAGGGAGTTCTTCGGGCTTGGGAGGATCAGGAGCCATGGAGAACATGGTACTGTCCCTCCAATTAATGACCTGGGCGGTGTACAAATCATAGTTGCTGTTGTAAGCAATCTTCCTAGTGTAGTCGCGTTCGAAGAACTTGGCCTTCTCGTCGAGATCTTGCTCGTAGAACCTCTTCACTCCGGCTTTCATCTCATCCAGCACGTTGAGTGGAACTCCATGGTTAACGACCTGGAAAAAACCCCAGGTGGAGGAAGCATCTTGAACTTTCTCGACGATCTCCTTCCGCTTGGCAGGATCTGTGGCCGCGCCTTCCAGGTCGATGACGGGGAAGGTGAACTTCTCGTCACTTGATTTGTTGCTGTCCATGATATCAGGCGGCGTGTAGAAGATAGGAGGGATTTCGGTCACTCCCGCATCCACCAAACCTTTTACACCGGCTTTCGTTGCGTCGAAGGCTTTAAGCTGCGCCAGTCGATCAGCTCCAGAGTTCGCCGAAACGGATGCCATTTTCTTAATCAACAATGCTATGTTTTCTTTGAGGGAGAAGGGGCTTTAATTAGGATAATGGTAGCTACTTAAGCTGCCAATCGACGGTCCACGTTATTCACCACAGTATAAAGTAGGTGAAAAGTGAAGCAAATGGTTTGAGATTTATTGATCGAATGACGAATTTAAACCGTTTTATATGTCCTATAGAAATATATGCATATATGTGGCAATAATTTAAATTTGAAAAACCTACATAACATTTGATAGGTATGATACAATAATTGAACAAGTAATATATGTCGAACTTGCCTCTTTAAATTAAAGTTTATTTTAATAATTGGTACTTCTCCACCTCAATCATCACGGTTGATGAGTGGTTACATGGCCCAGCCCCAGCTTCTTCGCCTCCCAATTTCTAATATTAATCATATACATATTATTTAGTATCTCACTTATTTAGAAATTTTTCCAATAATAGCAACTATTAAAAAAATTACAAAAATAGCACCCAGCCCATAAAATTTACAAAACTAGCACCATTTTTATCAAACCGCACATTCAAGATGCGTTTTATAATTAAACCGCACCCTCCAAGTGCATTTTATGTATAAACCGCACCTTGGAGGTGCGTTTTGCGCCACGTCAGACTAGGAACCGCACAAGGAAGGTGCGGTCAATGTTTTCAGCGGAACGGTCTTCAAGACCGTTGGATGAGGTGACGATCTAACGGCAGACCGCACGCCACCTCAGCGATCCGCGCAATGGATCGAAGACCGCTGCTGCAGGGTGCGGTCAGCGCCTCGAGAAAAGCGGACCGCATTGGGAGGGAGCGGTTTCAAGGAGGCCAAAATTACCAGACCGCCCCTGAAGGGTGAGGTCTGAATACTATGAATCCCCCCCCCCCCTCTCATTTCTTCACACCACAACCCATTCTTCACTCTCTCTAAAATTATCTTTCTAACCCCTCCCCTCCCAAAAGCCTAGGAAATAGTGGTCTATTGGTTGTAGCTAAGTCCGATCTGCCATCAGAAAACATTTCATGGGTTTTCCCCTCAAAACCCGCCGAATTTATGTCAGACTTTCGCGAAAAAATGGACGAGTGGTTCCAAGGAGAGGGAGTTTATTATGATGAATTTCAAGCGATACGTACTCATTATTCTGGTCAATTTTTGTTTTTGTTATAAGCTTTTTAATTAATCTATGTATTAACCTTGTTATTATTCTCTCATAGGTTGAGGACGACGTGGATATATACAACCAACGCTATTATTTGGATCAAGGACCTATTGATCCAACCGACTTGTACGGCCAACCCAACCATCGTTCAAGGGATGTTTGGAACGATCACTAGGTACATACAATTCTTCATCATTTGTCTTTCTTTTATTTTGCTAATGTACTTAGTGGAATATAAAATAAATTTGAAATAATTTAAACGTATTGGTTGTTTTCCATAATTTAATCGAATACATACACTACAAGAAATTATGCTTTCCGCAACCATCAATAATGGTCGCTGAAACGGAAAAAATGGTTGCCGAAACAGTTCTGCGACCATAAAAGACAGTCGCCAAGATGGTCGGCAATACTGCGTTGGCATAGGTCCAAGGCGACCCTTTTATTATGTGGTCGCTGAATGTATACTTTAAGCAACCATAGGGTATAGTTGGCAGAACACCAGTTTGGCGATGATCTATTTATAGTTGGCCTTTACATGTTTTCAGCAACGATATAAAATGGTTGGCGTAAATCTAGAGTTTGAACAACTATAACTATGGTCGCTACAGGGTGACGTTTCAAGCGACAATCTCATTTACGGTTGTCAAATGAGAGGTTTGGGCGACCTTTTTTTATGGTCGCCAAACAATCTGTGGAGTTTGAGTAGTTAGGCAACTCTTACTATATGGTTTCCAAAAGGTATGTTTAAGAGACTATTTAGCCTATGGTAGCTGAATGAGAGCTGTGAACAGTTATAAACCAACCTTTAATTTATATGGTAGTTAAACGCTAACTATAAATTAAACTTAACAAATCAAAGCATACAATAGAAAACATAAATAATATTCAATTGATCTAAATCTTAATCCAAAAATAATATCTTATTACGAAAAGTGGCAAAAACATAATATTGTGTTCTACTTCTACACATATCCATAATACAATTATCATCCTGAATATTTAGACGATCTCAATGGTTGGCAAGCCTTTACTTAGTATCTTCAAGCATTCTTGTCATCATTTGAATAAATGATGCATCTACCTGTAATTTCAACAAAAAGAGAAGTATAAGTCATATTGAGTTATCAACAACTGCTCTTATTAACAAGCTCTACCAAGATCAATAATAAGAAAACAAAAGAGGGCAGATGGAGGGTGAGAGAAGGGAAGGAAAAAAGTACCTCTTGTAAACATATTAAACATGGAAGGCAAGTGCCGCATCATCAATTGATTCCGAAATTGAGCAGAAGCAAGACAAGGATTTATGAACTTCCATCCATAGTAGTCCATGGAGCATTTCCTATTTCCTAGCTCCTATGGAAGTCATCTTCTTGGCCTACAGAAGTGCACATGTGAACACAATCTTATATTAGAATGAAAAGTAAGCAGGTTATGCAATTCAACTCACTTCATTGAAGGTGAAAGTCAAATCTCAACTACTGTAACGAGGGATATCTTTCCAACCTAACAGGCAATTGACGGGTTGAATTCCACTAGCATACCATAAACAAGCACTTAAAACTAAAAGAAAAATCTCGGTCATTTCTAAGTAAATAGAAGCTCCCTCAAGTCGATGGAATTGATTCACTAAAAACCCTAACTCTCAAATTTCAACACTGACAAAAAATTGAGTAAGAAATACCAGTAGCAAAAACCCCCCAATTCAATCCTCAGACGCAGCTCCTTCACCTGCAACCTTCCTCCGCCAAGATCTCGACACCCAGGTCTTTGCTGCTGCCTGAAGAAAGCAGAGGGCGGTCCCCTTGAGTTCTTTCCTCTGTTCAGATCCGTAGTGTCGAGTGACTCCCCTGTTGAAGGTGGCCGGAAGCTGGGAGACCAGAGCCTGGATGCGGTATCCGTCATCGCCGTTAAGTCTCGCCGAGAAACAAGGGAGCGCGGGGGAAGTCTCTTGAGGTCGGAAACTATTCTTCCTCACGCCGTTGTGCTCTCGCCATCTCTGCCTCCCTGTCCTCCCGCCATCTCTCTGTCTCCGGCGAAGGGAAGCCAGGCGACGGCAAGGGAACGCCAGGTAACCTGATTTGGGATGAGGATTTGGGAATGGGTTTGGGGTTTTTGTTTGTTCATATTTGGGGTTGAGATTTGGGAATGGGGTTGAGATTTGGGAATGGGATTGAGACTTGTGCCCTCGACGACGAGGCGGTGGGAACCAGAGAGAATCGAGGAGGGAGGAGGAGGCGCATGCCACCCTTCAATTTGAGAAAGCGGCGGCGGCGGAAGGCAGAAGAGGAAGGTGGGGAGGATAGTGGAGGCGTTGGATGAGGGAATGGGGTTCGACATCCATAGAAAGCCAAAGAGATAAGGTTTTATGTACTTGGTTGAATAAACGGTGGAGATTCATTGAGATGAATGGTTTTGATAAAGTTTGTATGGATTAGGGTTGGACTTGGATGATTCGGCATGGGTTCAGTATTATATGATTTAGTCACCTAAAACAGTTAAGCACTGATTAGTTTGATGAATAAAAATAAATTATTAATGAACCAATTTAGTATTTCATACTAATAGACTTTAACGTTGATCCAATAGTGATAGGTGCATAAAAGAATTTTTTATTCATTTGCAAAAGGTCTTTTAACAAACTAATTAAATTTAAAGTCGTATACGAATTTTTTGAACGATCATTGTTATATAGTGAAAATAGTGATTTTATGTACAAGCATTTTAATTACCTACAAGTGTAAAAACATGAGATTTTTAGTTTTAAAACCGTCTTTAAAAAATATTATAGAATGAATACATAATGCTTTATTATAATGATTATTAATAAAAATATTCTAATATATTTACTAAAATATTCTTTTTTTTCAACGAAAAGAAAATGTTCTTGATGAAGTATCATTAAGTATCACCAACTATGTTGACAATGGTTGATGAAGTATTTACTTTTCGGCAACCATCCTTCAAATCGTTGCTCAAACTTTGCTCAATCAGCAACCATTTCAGTAATCGTTGCGCAAAAATCAATTATTAACAACTATTTTTATAATGGTTGGTGAAGCATTGACATTTGGCAACCATTCTTCAAATAGTTGCTCAAACTTTGCTCAATCAGCAACCATTTAAATAATAGTTGCTCAAACAACAAGCTTGAGCAACTATTTATATAATGGTTGATAAAGTATTGACTTTTCGACAACCATTTTACAAATCGTTGCTCAAACTTTGCTCAATAGACAACTATTTAAGTAATGGTTGCTCAAACATCAAGTATCAGCAACCATTTTGATAATGGTTGGTGATGTATTGATTTTCTGGCAACCATTTAACAAATGGTTGTTGAAGAGCTAGGTATTAGCAACCATTTTGCAAATGGTTGCATAAGTCCTAGCCTATTGCAACTATTTTATGATGGTTGCTCAAAGGTTGGGCATCACCAACCATTTTGTAAATGGTGGCCAATAGTCCCGTTATCAGCAACCATTTTCTTATGGTTGCTAAGAATATAGTTGCCGAAACCAATTTTTCTTATAGTGATAGCGCCACTTACTTCGACTCTTTATAAAGAGATGCACGTCTAAGGAAATGTGGTTTTAAGCGATTATCATGATCCTCCCATTTCCTGGGAAAATCGGATATTAAGAGATCCTCGGATCCCCCCTTTTTCTGTCAAAAAGGCTGCATTTCTAAGAAGATGTATACCTCTTCTATGAGTCTTACGAGTGTTGCATTGTATTCGATTAAATTATTTAAAACAACCAATACGACTAAATTACTTACCAAACAACCAATACGATTTATGTTTAGTCGGGAGCAGTGCATTCCGTTGGAGGTCCCCGAGAGTCAAAGGGCGTTTCACCACCGAGATGGTCGGCAAGGTACTCACGATTGGCCCACGAA